TCAAGGGGTGTACAATCTAAGGTCCCTAACTCACATTCATACTTACACATACTAGGGCCAATTTAGACAGGAGCCAATTCACCTAGCAGCATGTCTTTGCAATGTGGGAGGAAACCGGAGTACCCGGAGGAAACCCACGCAGGCACAGGGAGAACATGCAAACTCCAGACAGGTGGTGCCGTGGTTGGGATTCGAACCAACGGCCCTAGTACTGCCAGGGGGAAGTGCTAACCAATTAGGCAGCACAGTGGCTAAATGGTTAGCACTTCCACCTGGCAGTACTGGGGTAATTGGTTCAAATCCCAGCCATGGCACCACCTGCCTAGAGTTTGTATGCTCTCCCTGTGCCTGCATGGGTCTCCTCCGGAAACTCCAGTTTCCTTTTAACACTCCAAAGACATGCTGGTAGGTTAATTGGCTCCTGTCTAGATATGTGTATGTATGATTGTGAGTTAGGGACCTTAGATGCTCCTTGAGGGCAGGGATTGATGTGAATGTATAATATATATGTAAAGCGCTGTGTAAATTGACAGCATAAGTACTTGTGATAAAAAAATAAAACTAAAATATAGGCTGCCCTACTACAAGAGAAAAAGACTGGACAGAGCTCTGCACCCATGTGAATGAGCCCATCCACCAATATGTATGCTAAGACAGGCGGTTTTATCTGCGTTGTCACTTATCACAATCAGTCATTTTTCTTCCTTTTATGCTAGCATGAGAATGGAAAAGGGAATTGGTTGCTGTAGGCGACGTAGCTGTTTAGTCTTTAGCTGCCTCTTTCACGAGACCCTCTGTATCCATCAGTGAGATGTAATTATTTCACCATTAGGCCCAGGGAAAACCCAGATCTGTTTGTTGATTCTACTATAATATGATAAACCGTGTCTCCTGCTTGTGTTGTTCCATTAATTCATTCTTCCCTAGTTCAGCACAACATTGAATTACGGAAATCAGCTAACTGCACTTAGCAGGTCCTGAATAATGCCGGGATGGATTTGTGTGTGCAGAAAGATTAAATTGTGTAATATATTACTTTTTCAGTAATAGTCCCTTTTGTTTTACACATGCAGAAATCAGATATATTATAGGAGTTATGCTGACAGCAACACTTGGGTCTCTGTCAATTCTCTTTATTGCCTTGGAAAAGCATTATAAAATGACAAATGACAATATAGAGAGCGGGACCAGTTCACGACTTGTTTGGTGCAATGCTTTTTTTGCACTTGGTGGGAACCACATCAGAATTTTATTGCCAGTGAGGTTCTCTCGTTTAAATTGTTAGTATCTTGTAAAGCTGGGTTTCTCAACCAGGGTCCCATGGAATCCTAGGGTTCCTCCAGAGGTTTGGGGTTCGAGCAATTTCTGCCTCTCAAATAAGTTCCTGTAAGGGGTTAATTCTTCCCAATGACCGCAAATGTAAGGACCATCACACTAATGTATCATGAGTTGTAGATATAGTAACTTTTAGCAGGAGTTCCCTGAGACCGGAAAGTTATTTCAAGGGTGTTAAAAGGTTGTGAATGGCTGTTTAAAGTATTAAACCGTCAGCATTTTTTATTTAACCCATGAAGCACAATACAATAAGCATTCCCCTGTAGAAAATGTTAAAAATTTTACCCCAGCACTTGAGGTTTATAATGTTCAGCTGCTGCTCTCTCAGTGCTTCTTCCCAGAACTGTTCTTCACAGGAAAGCATTCACAGTGGACAGTGTAGCCTCAAGCTAGTCAACTGGCTTGGAGAAGAGAGAGGGAAGAAGAGATAAGCAGAGGAGTGCCTTGCCATCCTAGACTATATGGTTGTGTGTTTCTTTTGATGCATGCAGTGTAGGGAGACACAACTTTAGCCCCTGCATGCACGGGTGGCTCCATAGGATGCTGCAAGAGAAAGGAATCACCCTGAAACTTGAAGCCTGGGGCAGCTGTCATGGCTTCATCTTAAACTGAATTATAACCAAGTAATACAAGATAAAGAGAAGAGACAGCAACTCCACTCTAAGTGTAGATGGTTAAAATCAGGCAGATTTAATGGTAAAATTGCACTCACATAGGCAGGTAACAGGTAGGCATGTCAAGTGATGGAGGTCCAGTGGGAGCATCAAGTCCTTTGGCCGCGCTCTGGGTGTTTTCCCGGCACTCCGGTGGTGTCCAGGGCTCGGGGAGGGGTGCAGGGATGATGTCACCACGTGGACCGTGCTTCCAAGATTGCACGCGTTCGGAGCATGCTCACTCCTTCATCAGACAGGGTCGGCCTGAGTGCAATTTTACCATTAAATCTGCCTGATTTTAACCATCTACACTTAGAGTGGCACTGCTGTCTTTCTTCTCTACCCGCATTAACACGAGTATCTACAAGCTCTTACAGCCGGCTGCCTCCTCTGACAAGTCCGTACTACTACAAGCCCCCCACTACAGATGGACTTCACATGGACCTTCTACTAACCCCCATTGCTGATGGTCCATCCCCAAACGCACTCAGGGTAGATGAGTCTTCGCGCTCCCTCCCCCACCCACCTCTGAAAATAAGAAGATAAAGAAGCTGCATGATCAGTAATATAGTGGTTCAGTGGCTTCAGTAAGTCCAACAAAGTTAAAGCACTGCTCCGGGTCTGCCCGCTAATCGCTGTCAGATGTCTTGTAAGGTGTTATCCTGGCTGGCGACCATAGAAATGTAGAAATAAACAAGTGGATTGCCATACACTGTAGCAAGGAACTCCAAAAACATTTACTAATCTAGTGTCCACAGAAAAAAAAAAATTACAGCACCAGACCCAAGGAGATGTTGACATGTTTCATGCTAAGAAGAGCTTGCTCATGAGTAAGTTCTTAGTGTGAAACACATCAGCATATCTCCTTGGATCTGGTGCTGTGATTTTTTTTTTTTTTTTTGTGGACATTATTATTATTATTACAGGTACTTATATAGTGCTTTCAATTCATGCAGTGCCTTACATATATATATATTGTACATTCACATCAGTCCCTAACCCTCAAGGGGCGTACAATCTAAGGTACCTAACTCACATTCCTACATACACACCTTCTAGGGCCAATTTAGACAGGAGCTGATTAACCTACCAGCATGTCTTTGGAGGGTGGGAGGAAACCGAAGTACCCTGAGGAAACCCATACAGGCACAGGGAGAACATGCAAAGTCCAGGCAGGTGGTGCCGTGGTTGGGATTCGAGCTGATCACCCTACATTGGATTAATAAAAGTTTTCTGAGTTTTTTTGCTACAGTGCACAGCCATCCATTTGTTCGCTTCTCAGTGTCTTCAGCACATTGAAGTCATGGGGGAGATTTACTAAAACTGGAGCACTCCGAATCTGGTGCATCTGTACATGGTCGCCAGTCAGCTTCTAACCTCAAAGCTTAGGTAAAAAAACATGGAAGCTGATTGGTTTCTCTGCAGAGCTGCACCACATTTTGTGCTCATCAATTTTAGTAAATAACCCCCATAGTCCTAGAACAAGTATGTGGATTACGAGTACAGACTTTCCCGATCTGCATGCTTGTGCCAGGTCAAGTACTGAAGACCGAGACAGCCAGACCAGGTCTTGGTTGGTTGGCTTCTTCTCACAGTGCAGGTTTTCTTTTAAGGTGGAAGTTAAACTTTAAGGTACAGTATGGTGTACATTCCTGGCAACTTACAGTGGTTGGTGGGATAATGGAACACCAGAGTGCATGTACAGGAGTTGCATCATCAGTGCCAGCCTAGTGTGAGGAGCAAGAAGACGGCAACCTTGGCTTGCAGAGCACTCACATGGTCAGGAACCTATGGCTGGCTCCCAATTACAGAGACTAAGAGCTATGAGTGACATCTCGGTCATTGTGTTGGGAACACAGAACCTTGGATCCCCATGTATGCAAATGTTTGGCATGTGGCTATTAAGGCCTACTCGCCTTACCAACTCATATATACATTCTAGCAGCAAGAAGTTACAATTAGTATTATCAGAAGGAGGTCAGAAATTGTAAGCACTGCATAATTGTCAGTCTAAGGGCTCATGTACACGGGGCATTTGGAAAACTCTTCTGAACGATGGAAACTGACTGCTGGAAAACGTAGGTTAAAAATCGTCAGTTTAGCCACGTTTGCATACTGCATTTATGTGCGTTCGCGTTTAGAAGCATTTTTAAAAGATAACCTCAGGAGACCTTCCCAAATGCCCAGAATGCACTGAAAAAAATAACTATTTCAAACATTTTGAGAGGAATCGAGAGAGCAGAAGCAGAGAGAGCAGTATGTGTTGAGATGACCTGTCTTTTCTGGTTATATTCACTATGGATCCCATCATGAGCATAACGCAGCGCATTCTACCATTTTTTTCCTTCATGCAAAAAACCTGGAACTGACTGAGCTGGTGTACCGGGTCCATTTAAATACATGGAAAACGCTTTGCATGCATTTCTGATGATGAAAAAAGCCACTGGACAGCATCTGGACATGGAACAGTTAAACGCTTCTAAACGCGGTTAACCGTGTTTACAAGCGTTTGGTGTTTGAAACGCTGGTAAAATCTACTCCTGAAGTTTGGTGCATTAAAAAAAAAGACTGCTAACTCAACTGCCTGTAAACGACATAGTGTACATGGACACATAGGAAAACATTAGGGAGAGTTCAGGGGCTGCTGAAAAAAAAACCACAGAAAAGCTCCTAAACGTCAGTTTATCAGCTGCAGCGTACATGAGCCCTAAGCAGTTCCATGGTCGCACATTATAATTCCAAATTCCATTGGCGGCAGTGTGTGCATTTCTCTAATTTTGTGTCCTGTGTCCATTGTTGTATAGAGTGACAGCCGTGAGATGTTCTGGAGGGCTCCATGACAGGTTCGGTTTATGGCTCAATAATGTTACATCAGGGGAAATTAATGCAGGGTCATACATTAATCATATTCATGATGCCGAGCTTTGTGAGCCATGAAATCTGTGTGTGTTTTTGCTGACATATATGTGACATTATTTACTTTCAGCTTGAGCGTTCCTATATTTTATTGCGCTGATTTCAGGAAAAGAAAATAAAATAAACCATTTTAGAATGTTTTGCAATCTTTTGTCAAGCTTCACCAATATCTAAGGACTTTTCACCAGTGTATCTAATTTAATCTATCATGAAAACATTATTATAATGCAGCTTGCCAGTCCTCAGATGTGGTGCCTTCATTGGTTTTCTTTTTATCAAGCTTATTTTTCTTTATTTTCTCCTGGTGATCCTGCCAGTAACACACTGCCTGTCCTGAGGTGACAGCACTTCTTAACTGCTTCTATAAAGGAACAGTGTTATGTAGTTAGTCTGGCTGAAAAAAAGACAAAAGTCCATCCAGTTCAAGCATAAAAAAAAGTTATAATCCTATACCCACAGTTGTTCCAGAGGAAGGCAAAAAAAACCCAGCAAAACACGATCCAATTAGCTCCTGCAGGGGAATAAATTCCTTCCTGATCCCCCGAAAGGCAATCAGATATTCCCTGGATCAACTTTACCTATAAATGATAGTAACCAGTTATATTCTGTGTATCTAAGAAAGAATCCAGGCCTTTTTTAAAGCAATCCGCTGAGCTGGCCAGAACCACATTCCACATTTTCACAGCTCTTACAGTGAAGAAACCTTTCCGTGTTTGGAGATTACATTTCTTTTCCTCCAGACATACAGAGTGCCCCCTTGTCTTCTGTTTTGACCTCAGGGTGGATAGCTCTACACCGAGTTCACTATATGAACCACTGATGTATTTATACATGTTGATCATATCCCCCCTTAATCTCTTCTTCTCAAGAGAGAATAAATTCAGTTCCTCTAATCTTTCCTCATAGCTGAGCTCCTCCATGCCTCTTATCAGTTTGGTTGTCTTCTCTGCACTTTCTCCAGTTCCCCAATGTTGTTTTTGTGAATTGGTGCCCAAAACTGAACTGCATATTCCAGATGAGGTGTTACTAATGATTTGTACCGGGGTAATATGATATCTCTCTCTCTGGAGTCTATACCTCTTTTAATACAAGAGATGATTTTGCTCGCTTTAGAAACCGCAGCTTGGCATTGCACTTTAGGCTTGTAAACAGCAACAAATAGAACACTGCCCACTAAAGAAACAGTCCAGCTGTAAGAAAGTGAAAAATTGGCTTCGCCAAATCTCATAGGCCACGACCCACTGATGCGTTTTGTTCCAACTGAGCATGGTGGGTGGAACAGGATGTGGCCTATGAGGAGTTGGGCTTAAGCCATTTTTCACTTTCTCAGTGCTGGACTGTTTCTTCAGTGTGTGGCATTCTATTTATTGCTGTTTTCATGACCGAGTGGGCTGTGATGAGCTCCTTGAATACTGGTTCCTAACTGCAATGAATCACCAGGCACTTTTTCGATTTGAGCAGCAATCCAAGTCTTGTAGTCCTCATGCACACTGGACGTGTTTACAGCGGCTGTTTTTGGCTTTTGACTTTTTTTTTCTACAGCCAGTAAACTCCCCGGCATGTTATCCTATTTGTTCATGCACACATAGACTGTAATCAGCATTTTTTGGCAGGGACTTTTTTTGGCTGTAAAAAACCTCCAGGACTAGTGGGTTTCTAGAGGCATTTTTTAGCTGTAAAAACGCTCTAGCGCTGAAAAACACGGTAAAACGCTGCAGACCTGCGGTTTTTGGACTTTTTATGACCCTCCCCTCAATATTTTTTTTTGGTTAAAAAAAAAAACCCTAAAAAAAAAAAAAAAACAAAACCCCGCTATACACTAATGCAAAAACACTAAAAAAAGCTGAAAAACTCAAGTTTTTAACGTGACTTTACACAGCTAATATTACCAGCGTTCTCATAACGTCCAGTGTGCATGAAGCCTTATGTATAGATATCTTAGGCTTGTTGTGAATTTCTGCTAGGCCCAGGGGCGGACTGACCATTTGGAAACTCGGACACTGCCCGAGGGCCCGGGGTCAGTAGGGGGCCCCATGAGATGCCCCTGGTACCTTTTTCATAGGCTTTTTTGAGTTTGGGCAAGGACACAGGGCCCCATGATCCCCTATTGCCCGGGGGCCCCATGAGCTGTCAGTCCGCCCCTGGCTAGACCCATGAACTGCCACAGGTGATCACATGATGTACTGTCACATTAGATCACATGTACCCCAAACCTAGAAGCACAGGGTAGTGTTGCTGGTTGTGAGAAAGGATCCAGCAGTTGGGGGCTCTTTTGCAAAGACGCTGTTACTTTAGACTGCATAGAAAATGTGAATGTTAATTTAAAACTGAACTACAAGCAGCTATAAAAGACGAATTATGAATCTATGGAATCATAAATATATCATAAAATACATTTTTTAAATGTAAGTACCCAAATCTGACCAAGTATCAGCTTCCTGCATGTATAGCAGAGCTGGGGTGTGAGAGGAAGAAGCAGCACAAAGAGCCAATCAGTTCATGTTGCTGAAAAAGCAAAGTGACAGAGAGAATAGCTAATCATTGTGCTGCTTCTGATCTCATTGTCCAGTCACAGGCTAAGGCAGTTCCAGGGTGACCTGTGCTCAGAGGAAGTGGGCTGAATGATGCTGGCCTAGAGAATGAGGACATCTAATGGCAGAAAGGGAGTAATGCAGGGACAGTCTCTGGATAGAAGCTGAATGTTGCAGCACAAAAGCTGGTTTTGTTCTTTTAACCTTTAACGGCTATTTATTTTCATCTTGTTGTTTTTTGCTGGAATTCTGTTTTAAATGCTGCTCATCAAATGCCAATAATTTTGTCAGGGTCAGATAATAATCTCTACCAGTGGAGGGTTGGAGGTTTTTCGTTTTTGGCCTATTGTTCCCATATTTAATCTTTAATATATTTAAGCTTTGTAAGTGGTATGATATGAGCATATTCCAGTACGTTGGCAGGGGAAGATAACCTGGCACATAGATTTTACTTTTCTCTCGCTGTGTCTATGTATTGCCATTTTTATTGTCTTTTTATTGTGTGTGTGTAAATAGTCTGGGTGGAGGAGATTTCCAGCAGCCCTTGGTGCTCAGCCTAGTGTAATATTGTAATACATAGTTTTGCAACCTATTAAACAGAGAGATTTACATTTACGTGAAGGGCAAGCTTCCCTTTCAGAACCATTACACTTCCACGGCTGAAGTTGGCATGGCATGTTCTGTACAGCTCAGCAGTAACTATAAAACAGGAGTCCTCTGCCAGGCTTCGGGCAATGCCCAGTACAGCAGAAGACTGCTCTCCTCAGTAGTCACATTTTAGTTTCTGGCTCCAGTCTTCTTTTCCTATTTCTGAGACTGTTATGTTTTGTAGTGAATAATGTATGGAGGAAAATATTAGTTATTTCTGCAGAAACCCATTCCTCAGACACACAGCTATTTCAGTGAGTATTTCTGGATGCTGGTTTGTATTACTGTGCTTTATTACCCATCCTGGACTAGGGCCTACTGTGCGTGTCTTCTCATAGCCATTTGCTTAGTTACTGCACACTGTCTTCCATGCTGCAATATAGGAATATTACATTATCTTGGTACAATGACATCTGAAAGTAGATGGGATATATTAGACAGCAAGTGAACATGTTGTCCTTGATTTGTTGAAAGCAGGAAAATGGGCAAGTGTTAGGATTTGAGCGACTTTGACGAGGGCCAAATTGTAATGGTGAGGCAACTGGGTCTGAGCAAGTCCAAAACTGTAGCTCTTGTAGGATGTTCCCAGTCTGAAATGGTCAGGACCTACCAAAATCAGTCCAAGAAAAGAGAACCGGTGACAGGGTCATGGGCAGCCAAGGCATAGTTACATAGTTAATTGGGTTGAAAAAAGACACAAGTCCATCCAGTTCAACCTACAAAAAAAAAACACAAACAATTTGAAAACCTCCATATACACAATCCTATACCCACAGTTGATCCAGAGGAAGGCAAAAAAAACTCCAATAAAGCATGATCCTATTTTCTCCAGTGGGGGGAAAAACAATCTTTTGTGATCACCCAAGAGACATTCGGATACTTCTTGGATTAACTACCTATACCATATACCTATAAACACCTATATCATACCTATATTTTGTTTATTTACATGTAGAGAGCGAAAGTTGGCCCATGTAGTATAATCCAATAAAAGAGTACTATAACTCAAACTACTAATAAGGTAATGCTGGTTTCCGATATTAGTGTGTCAGAACACACAGTGCATTGCAGTTTGTCGCATATGGGGCTGTGTAGCCATAGACCGGTCAGGGTGCCCATGCTGACCCGTGTCCACAGCCAAAACTGCCTGCAATGGGCACATGAGCATCAGAACTGGACCAAGAAGCAATGGAAGAAGGTGTCTTTGAGGTTTTGGCCACCAAATTCTCAAGATCTTAATCTAATCGAGCATCTGTGGTATGTGCTGGAAAAACAAGTTGGATTCATAGAGGCCCCACCTCACAACTTACAAGACTTGAAGGACCTGCTATTGATGGCTTGGTGCCAGATACCAAAGCATACCTTCACAGGTCTATTGGAATCCATACCTCAACGGTCAATGCTGTTTTGGCAGCTAAAGGAGGACCCACTCAGTATTAGGTGTGTGGTCATAATGTAATGATTGATCGGTGTGTGTGTATATGATGTATACTCAGTTAAAATGGTAAGTTCACCTTTTTACAAAAAATTAAGAGGTCAGCTAACTCCAAATATCCTGGCTCTCCAGACCCCACTGCACAAAGCAGCTGTGATGCCCCACGGTACCAGTGTAGTGGTCCATACAATACACAGCCCTGGTGTGAGTATCCATCATAATGCTTGGAGTGGCACTCATTGGTCAGTGCAACTACATGACCTTAAGATCATCTGCAGTGTCTTCTTTTGGTAAGGTGTCCTAAAAGAAAGAAACACCTTTTAATGGTCAGCATGATCTTGCTGATCAATGAGCGCTTGCCATTGCGAGCATTATGATGGACACTCACCCCGGGGCTGTATACTGTGTACGGGGCTTTATGGCCGCTGTGTACAGTGTGGTCTGGAGTGGGGGCCATGATATTTGGTGCTAGTTTACCTTTTAATTTTTTGTGAAAATGTGAACTTTTAATTTTTCTTTTTTGTTTTTTCTTTTTGAATGTCCAATTTTACATATTTGCAGAGCTGTGGGTACCACTGCTATCTGATATTTCTGGGTGTGTTGGGCACTGTGGTTCCTCCCGCAGGACTAGAGGGCATGGTAGTGATGTAGCCGATGGTGGAAGAAACCACAACACCCAGCAGGGGACATGCTATTTGATAAGCTATCCAACACACCCAGATGGGTCAATTAGTAGTGACTTCTGTAACTCAACAAGACAATGAAGACTGGACGCCTGCCGAACTGGTAAGTATTCAGCCCGTTCCTGTACAACAGGTTTGCCTTGCCTTGCTTTTTCTTCTTTGTAGCTACATGGTCTAATTAAAGTAGAATTAAAGCTTTTTTTTTCATTTTGGATAGAGTAAGGGTGGGTTATAACCCCTGTCAGGTTTTGCCATCTGTTTCTCATTAGGGAGATTTTGATTTGTTCCCTGTCCCATAGCCAAAACAGGACGCAAGAGGAAATCCCACTAAAGGGATCCCATTAGAACACCTATCTGAAACAATGCCTGTAGTTATACTTTAAAGAGTGTCCGTAGTTTAGTCGTCTTTAGATATATGAAAGAGATTAGATTTCTTTGAATGTTCCCAGTGTGGTACTGTATTAAAGTGCTTGTCTTTGTGCATTGTTTGTAATTATATATGTACATGAGGGTAGGTATATTTGCTCATTACATATACAAGCCTTGCTTTCTGACTGTTCCTTGCTGGGCTTCTTATCCAAGTGCCAGTCAAGGTTTGCCTAAAAGCAATAGACTCAATGCAGTTTCTAATAACCTGAAACATCCACTGTGCTCTTGGCAGTCAAAGACCATCTGACCTTTTGTCAAGATTTCAATCTTGAGGACCTCAAGAGGCACATTTTTTATTCACTGCAAGAAAACGTTCCTTTTTTTCAGTGATTCAGTAATGCTGAAATGTACTTTATTGATCTATGTACAGCGTGAACTGAAATGGATTCAGTTTAATACGGTGCTTACAGGGATAATGCTGGAAGCAATCTCAATACTGTACCAACCTGCAGACCTCGAGCCAGTGGGCACTCTATATCTGACACTTAATACAGTAGCCAAAAATGTTGAAGCCTAGGTCTCAAACCTTTTTTGTTTCTTTAAAATCCTATTGGCCCACATGTTTTAGCTATGGAAATCACCCCAATGAAAAAAAATCTGACAGGGGTTATAATTAACACCCCCCCCCCCCCCCCCCCGCCTCTATCCAAAATGAAAAAAAAATGTTTTGCCTATAGTTCTTTAAATGGCATGGTGCATTCGGTACCCGAGTGGGCGGGAAGGACTGCCCGATCGCTGTGATTGTCATCTGATCAGGGCCAGTCCTGCTGGCTCCTGATTATTACTAGAGACCAGGAGCTGTCTCTGACAGCTCAGTTGCTGTGCTGGGAGCATGCTTTCGGCACAGGAACCCTGACTGTCTATGGCTGGGGTTAAAGCCTGCCTTCTTTGTCGTCGTATATATGCATTACATGGGTGGCAAGTGGGTAAAGGATGCAAACTTTAGTAAGTACCAATAACAGAAAAAAACTGTTCACTATGATAAGATATTGTGGCATTAAATAAATAACATCTCATTCTAAAAGATTTGTAGCACAGTACATCTTTAGGATTGGCACACACATTCTTGTAGTCTTCTGTACAGTAAAAATCCTAAATGCTGAGCTCTGTTCAAGTATGACAGCATTTTTTTTTCCTTGCGTCTTTCAGGATTTGAGCAGCACTGCTAAGCGATGGATGGCAGGGTGCGGAGTGATGAAGTGTTTTATGAGGTGGTGGAACACTGCCACCATGATTAGATCTATGGTTAGACCTGGTGACCTAAACTGATGTAATTCCATTTTATTCCCCTCACTGCCTGGAGAGGCCCGCAAATGCGTTATTAAAACCACAACGAGTTTTACACACTCAACTTTAAGTGCCCTAGAAACACAGCCTTGCATAAGTTCCACTAAAGCAGCCAAATAAAATCCAGGTTGTCCT